AATGAAAGATTAACCCCATTTTACTACACTTCCGCGGCCAGAAGACAGCTCTGAAGCCCTGTGCCAGCACTGGCCGTTGTTCACTGAAGAGCACACAACACTCAGCAGGGCCCATGGCACCTAATCCATGCAGCGCTCATCGTCCCCCCTGACACCCTTACTCTCAGGCCCATGGCTGTGCAGGCCTGGGCAAGCTAGCAACAGGGAGGGGGACCAAGGCAAAACTCCCAGTTTGAAGGGGGGCTAGCGATTAACCCCGGGAGCAATGGGGAGAGGCTGGGGGGTAAGGCAGGCCGCAGCCGCCCCACTGCCCGCTGGGGGTTGCTAGGCAACTCGGGCCTACCGCTGCCCCCCGCGCCTTCAGCGCAGGCTGGGGGGGTTCGGGGAGCCGCACGGGGACAGGGTTTTTCATCGGGCTACGGAAAGCCAGGCATGCACATCCATTATTGTAAATAAGGGGGGGAACAGCCACAGTGTCACTCCACTTTCTGATTCAGAACGTTCAGCGGGTAGCAGGTTTTCTGTGGGTTTTTTTAATGTAACTGACAAAACCTGGCAACAATACACAGTGTAAAAAGTGACATTTTGACTCTAAGGGAGGAATTATTTGCAGTTTGTTTTGAACAGAAGCTTAGTTCATGTCAGATGTGAACCTCCAGACAATCATTAGTTTAAACTGCCTGCTATGTGTTTAAAAATTTCAGTCAATTTAGAACTGATCTGAATTGCAAATGGGATGGTAATAAGCCATTAGGGAACAACATATCTCTCTTTCACACTTGCAACCCTCTGCTTTAAGGGGCCTTGACTGCACTGAAATATGAAAATACCATTTTAGTCATGCATATTGCCAACAAACATGGAAATGAAGGAGGTCCAAACTTGGAAAGTGGCACTTGGAGCTGCCACTGGAGCAAAGAAAAGGGTGTAGCTCGTCCTTTGAAGAAGAGGCAGCAGTTAATTTTCCACAGAATAAATAGTCTGACTTGCTGATGGCACAGTAAAACAGAGGCCTGGTACCTGACTAGTTCTGGGTTATTTTGATTTCTGAGGATCTGAGGCATTTCTCATCCTCTGTGAAATCATTTTTGTGAACAAGCATAGTCACCTAAGGTCTTCTGCACAAAATTACCTGTAGTTCCTCAAAATCAGCTGTCTAACAACCTTCTGTGTTCAAATGAGTGAAAAGATACAAGTTTTTTCATTCCTGAGCTCTCAGCTCAAGACAGGCCTCTGCAATACACAGATCCATTGACTAAGAAGGCATCTGCACAACTGAAACAGATTAAATATCTTTTAGATGACAGCATTAAGCATCGTAGGTCCTATCCCAAGATCTTTTCCCACTAAAGAACATTATGAATCACCTACAGATGTTTTATAGGTGTTTCATATGTGGAAAGACTTTCTTCTACAGCCTTATAGCCCCTCTATAACCACTCTTGGGTAGTCATCACTGGCTCTTTATGCTGCCTCACAAAATTATATACCTTATAAAACTCATCTCTTTCATGATTTCTTGAGTCTGCAGCTGAGGCTGACTCTATGTCTCACCATACTAGCTGATAAGCAACCTACTCTCTACATTCAAGCAGATTCCCATGCAGCTATGATGAAGGGAGAAATGCAGACTTCTGATCTGCATCTGTAAAAGTTGAATGCTGGTGCCTTAGTACCAACCAGCGCAGTAGATGTTCCTACACTGTTGGATACTCTTGCAACCCTAGAGTTAACAGTTTCCTAATAGGATTCTGGGACTTCTTCCCCGCTGAAGCTATATGTCTAAATACAGCTCCTGGAGCTGTTTCTAGAGAACCTCTTTGTTGAGGGGGTACTAGCTCAGAGACACCTACAGCAGACTGGAGAGTCTCATCTCATGGGAGGTCCAGCTGACCCAAATGCTGCTGTGCTAGCACACATGCTGGACTGGATTTCTGCAAAACATGCCTTTGTTCTTAGGAGAGTATTAAAGCAGATAGCCCATTAATTCTTTCATGGCATATCCACTCAACCCCCTCTGTTTTCAGAGATAACACCTTGAAACTGCTGAATGCAGGTGAATTTGAATATTACACCACATCTCAGCTTTCCTAGAAGGTTCATGTCAGCCTCTGCCCAGCTGACAATATACTAGAAAGGGGATGCTTGCACAGTACCTTCACTGAACTGCCATGCAGCAGAAAGCAAATGGGCAAGGTCAAATAGGTCAAAGTTAGTCTGCTGAGCCAGATACTTTGCATAAGAAAGGGGGAGCTAAGCAAGAAAAATGCAACTCAGGTAAAACTATGGGAGCAGACCAGTAGTACAAGAGCTTGATTAACCCACTTTCCACCCAGGACTGAAAAAAGACTCTCAGTCTGGGCCTCTCTGCCTCAAATTGTACGGGATACCACACATCTAAACCAACCTTAACATGGGCTGATTCTATTGATGCAGTCTTCTAAATCTTGGTGTATATATACACCTAAATATACACATGTATAACTTATTCCACTTCAACACTTAAAAGAAATTCTATTGCATGAATATTAAAAACAAAGTGACAAAATATTTTCAATATTCAAAATTTAATGTAAAAAGACTGTAGAAATATGAATATGCTTCATATAGGGAAAACCTGAGCTTTTGTTTTGGATTACTTCTTCAAGGACAGGTACACCTAAAACTACTTAAATACGCAAATTTTGCAGACAATTCTGCACCAGCAAAATTAAAGAATTCTGAACTCTATATTTCCTGGGAAGACAGCCGACTTCATCTCCCTCAAAGGCACATGAAATAAATTAACCCTTTCCAATTATGCTTGCAAGGTATATTTGGGGTAACAACTCCCTACTTTCATACATACATGTGTGGAACTTCCACTCATTTTAGTGAGATAAAAGACGTTTCCAATTTGGATCTTTGAAAGGATCTGACAGTCAGTATTTATTATTATAGAAAAGATTAAGAACAGTCCTACTGAACTCTAATATTTAAAGACTTACTCCTTTCAGAAGTGATATTATGGCACAGGACAATTAACATATTCCCAGAAGTATATCTTTCAAGAAAAAAATTTCCTGTGATAAATACAGGATTAAAGATGGTATTATACATTAATTCTGATGGAAATTAAGAAGTTAAATACTTCCAGATCTAAACTCTAGCTACTTACAATTTCCCTAGCAAATGCAAAGTTATTAAAAAAAAAAAATCAAGCTTTTCTATCATTGCATTGGGTTTAAGCAAGACAGCATACAGAATAAGAAACTCAGAATCTAGCAAAATATTGTAAGGGGAAAAAATTCAGAAATCCTTTGGTCTCTGATCCTTTTTTAGTGACTTTAGGCAGTTCTGTATTTTTATGTCCTTAAATGAGGTATTCAGTATTCATTCCATCAATTACTCTGTCAAAGTATTTACATGCCAAAGTGCATGCTCTAAACATATTTTATTTTCCACACACAATTGTTTAATCATCATAAATGGGTTCTTCCATATACAAACTACCCCCTGCACATACACCTGCATAATCTGGCAGTTTAAAGATATATGTAATATAGGGGAATTGTTGACATTTACATATCTGCTCCATTTGTATTTGAAAAATGACTTCCATGTAGAAGGTTCTTATCCTTATTTGACATGTGGCACAGGCCAGAGATCTGCAGTTGTAATTACTGAAATGAAACCAACACAAACAGCGAAAGGGAATGATACGTGCAACTTGGGAGATGTGATTTCATAGACTTTTAAGCATGTGTGTGTGTGATAGTCGTACACTTTTTGTGTCAGATATTTGGCTATCTCAATATTACTTTTCACATGACATAGTCCTGAGAGCATGTAGTATAAATTATCATATATCAGTTATGAAAAGATAATCATGTGAATGGAATCTGAAAGGCAAACAATCATCTCTCAGCTGCAATTGACCATAATCCAAACACAGAGTAATATTTTGGTTTGGTTAGAGAAGAATGCTAGAGGAATCAAAGGCTCAGACCTACATTCCCTCCTTGTGTGGATACTCCTATTGACTTCAGTGGGATGACTAATGTAATATGGTATAAACAATCAATACTATATTTTAATCCCCAAAGAATACTCATGTTCAGAAAAAATACAGAAGAGAATATTATTAACACTGACCTGACATACTTGAAAAGAGAAATGAAGAAAGGTTTGTTGTTTGCATCCCCAGTTACCTTGTACCAGCTAACTGGGTCACAGCTTTCAGCATGAAGTAGAGACCAGACCACCATCTGCTAAGTAAAAATTGGCATAATACAGAGTAGATGATTCATGAGAGGAAAGGCTTATGTACTTTGTCAATGCAGAACTGAGTAAAGTGGGGAGCAGAATCGTCCCTTCAGAATAATCAATATTCTATCTCTCAATGCACTCTACAGATAACTCAAAAGATTGTGTAGCTTCAGTGAAGGTTCACAGCAAAGCCACAAAGGAATTTGATGTATGTGCTTTACTAGGACTGGATGCACTGCCTATATGAGGTTCTGCACTGAGATTGTCCTCCATCTTGATATTCAGACAGGATGCTAACACAGGATTACCCTCATTCACCTACTGCAACTGCTCTGGGCTGGTGGCAATGAGAGTAACCTGCCATAGAAGAGCAGTCTATAAAATTGACAGGAAGTACAGAACTATAGTGCAAATATATCCTTTCTCTCAAGTAAAAGCAAGCAAAGACAGGTTTAGGTGATATGCAAATCAAGCCTCATAAGTACTGAAGAGGTTTCCTGACCAGTAGTTCAAAAGGTAAACATACCTCTTCTAGAAACAGCTTTGAGTGAAAATACTGATATGCACTCATTTCATTAGAAGGGGTTTTTCCAAATAGAAGACTTGTAGAGAGAAGCACTATGCACTAAGAATCATTCAAATTCTTCCAGAGAACAGCAAATTCTTATCACAGTACTCCCAGTGGGAAGACAGAGACGTTTTGGAGCACAGAGTCCCACCTCTTACAATGTTGCTGATTTTGGAGTACCCACCTGAAGTCCATCCAAGCTGCTTTGTGGTATCCTGTTGCTGAATTCATGCTACGGCTGCTGTGGTGGATAGAACCTGCTGTCCTTCCCATAAAGTTGGACCTGAATGTGGAATCGCATACAAGAGGTGATGTATAAACACAGACTTGCACAAAGCCCCATATGGTTTCCAAAAAGAAAGATGGAAAAAATTAAGGCAGCTGCTTCCCACAGCCACCATCTGGATGCAGGAAGTGGGGAAATCTGCATGAAGAGTGCCTCCTCCATGCATATCTACAGAATTGAATCCTGCCCTTTATTTTCCATCTTCCAAACATAGTTTTTATTTAGTCAAAGAATAAGACATGACAGAATGCATGTGGATATGAGACAACATGTGCCTTAGGGCTAGTAAGAGAGGGAGGTGAAGGTGACAACCCCAAATGTGAAGACAATGATGCAAAACGCCTTTCATCTCATGCAGACACAACCTAGAAGTCCTGTTGTTGTGAACATAAAGTCTTGAACAACACATAATAATAATAATAATAAATAATAATTAATAATAATATTTTTAAAATCCTTCCCCTGATGACTCTGTATAAAATTTTCTATCCTCACTGACAAAAAATAGAACCTAAAGAAACAAGTGGACAAAAATAATCACAAAAGAACTGCTTTTAAAGCTGAGCAGGCCATGCTATGGTAATGTACAGAAAGGAATGACTATGTTACTGGATCACAGCATTATCAAATGACTGTTCAGAGACAGAATGCAGTGTGAAGCCATAACATCTTGCTGTATGTCATTGTGGTCACTGCTGTCCTCTCTGCTTCGTTCACTTCGCTGAACTGGTGCGTGGGTGGGACTTGCTTTCAGCTGACATTTATTTCCATTCTATTTCATTAATGCACAATGCTAAACTGCCTTATTCTTTCTAACGTGTCCAAGCCTCCAAACTCTCAGTCATATACACATAGTTTTTCCCTCAGTGCTATGACATAATTTAAGAAAAATGGGATTCAACACATAAATAAGGGTTTCTATGAGTAAGACCACATCTCATGCCTTAAAATATGTTTAAGATGGTATATATCTGTTTCACAGTGAAGTACCAAATATACTGGAAGTAATTGTTCCTGTAGTGAGTTTCAATAATATTACGCAGATCTACTTTGCAGTTTTTCTTTATGCTTTATAGTGACTTGGTAAAATGTATGTTTCATTCTTGAAGAGCTCTTACATAAGAAAAAGAGGACTTGTTATTCAGAGACTGACACCTCTCTTCCATTCCTTTCCCTCCCCCTCTAAAAATGCAACCTGCAAGAAAGAAACGTAAAATCTCTCATGGTATAACAGTTTTGTTTTGTTTCTAATACTGAAATGTGGTGGGAGCTGAGAGTGCTCAGGGGGTTTTTCATTTGTTTGCAGGTTTGCTTTGTTGTTTGTTTTTTTTTTTTTTTTTTTAAATAATTTAGCAAAATATGAACTTTTGTAAATGGTGAAAACACATTTCTCTACATCCTGAAAGGCCTTCCCATAGATGAGTGTTTAGAAACTGGTCATTCTGGAGCTGGGCTATGTCTGACAAATAGAACGTGTCCAGAAAATGGGGAAATATTACCTGAAGGTGATCAAGGACTGTTTCCATGACAACAGCTCTGAGGACAAGACATCCACTGGAGTGGCAATCCATCTGTCCATGTATCCATGTGCCTTATGGACAGGATAAGGATTCATCCACAGAGCAGTAGCAGAAAAGATGACATATCTTCGTGATTCAAGGAGGTAGATGGTGTGATTATAAAGCAGTCAGCTGGCTCACTGCCTGGAGCAGCTGGAGAGGACTGGTGTTAGAAGTACCAGGAAGGATGGATTTCAGCAAGGTGGTGGGCAAGCAGTAAGCCAACAGTAGACTGGACCCTTCCTGCTGAAAAAAAAGTGAGAAATATCAGCAGTTCAGAGGTAGCTATGGGGCATGCGCTACCAGAAGAAAAGAAGATTGTGGGAATGGGTATGCGTTCTAAGGGTTAACCTTAAACACAGCTGTGCACTTCACTGGCATATAAACCTAACATACTTCAGGCAGGTGAGTTGTGCAATGGAGAATACAGAAGCATAAAAGTCTATCTTGTGGTACTAAGTCCATTAACATTAGAATTAGATATGTCATCTCCACCCAGTATGCATTATTTTACTCATCATTACATATTTATTCCTTTATCGGATTTTTGTTTAAATGAGCTTCACTGAACACAAAAGACCTGAATAATTTGATATGCAATAAACGTGTCCTTGTCGCCTTATTATTTCCTTAAATAGAGAAAAGAATATGGTTAGATTAGCTGAAATGACAATTCAATGTCTTATATTAAGTTCACTGGGTTACAGAGGGAAACATTCATGCACTCTCAAATGAAAGGGTTCAAAAAAATGACAGAAGGTATAGTTAATTAGTTGACTGGATTATTCAATCCTTGCATAAAGGCATGAGCTCTGCTTTAGTGAAGAAGCAAGCACTGACAGAAGTTAATGCCTTGGAGATTCTTCTTCAAACATTTTAACTCTTGTCAGAATTATAATTGCATTCATATGAGATTTCTTGTATTTAGTATAACAGGGGGTTGATCATTTTTCACCTGGTAGGAGTTTTTCAGCTAGAAAAGGGAACCAAATAAACAGAACAAAACACAAGTGGATGACATCCATCAGGAGCAATTGTGTAGGTGCTGTACAAAACACCTTTCAGAAACATTACTTGTCTCAAAGGCACTTACAGTATAAGTGGGACAAAAAATAACAAACGGAAAAAGATAGACAGATGGAAGAACAAAGAAGCAGTGACACAGTTGGTCAGTGTGATAGGCAGCATTCTCAGCACATCCCCAGTCTGACAGCTGTCAAAATTTTAATAAACTTCACAGCAAAATAGAGTTTTAAAGAGACAGCTAAGGAAAATCTCTTACAAAAAAGTGAGGTGAGACAAGCTAAAAATCTAAAATCTGTGAAACATTTAGCTTTTTTTGCTCTGAGACTCCTTACTCCTAAAGGAATAAAGAAAATTATTTGTTTTTCTGATGTCTGGATTCCTAGATCCATACCCGAGCATGACACATTTTCTTCTCATTCGTTGATGGTCTGTATTGTCTTAATGTAATTGAAGAAACCCTTATTTTCACTTCAAATTCCCTTGCCTCATAGAAAATTGACATGCCATCCTATAAGAAGAAAGCTCCTTTTGCTCTGAACACATGTTTACCATCTCCAGGCATGCCAGACATTTGCAAGGTGTCAGCTGTGAAGGAAACATGAATGTGTTCACATGATCAACAGCTGCACTGTGAAAATGCCTGTGGGGATGGGGAAATATTCTAGACCCCTACCCACATCTCTACATGCTGTGAGGTGATTAAAAGAATAGGCCTAGGAGTTACCAGGGAACCAAAAGTTATTTAGGGAAGAAAAAAGACAGGAACCAATTTTCTATGACATTCAGAAGGGAAGAGATTGTATTATTATTACAGGACTCTTGTAAAACAAGTATTCCTAACAGCACTGTTCTCTCAACTCTAAGCAGCAAAAATCAAACCCGGACTTTGAAACGGTGATATTATGACCCATAACATTGTCTGAAAGTCTGTTAGTAATCCTTCTAGCTATATACAGAATCATATACATCTTTTCTAAAGCTTGAGAACACTTTGTGAGTTACTGCTTCATTTACTAAGCCAGAACTCAATACAACACACTTTCTAAACAAGGCTCCATCATTTAGCTCTCTACTTTATATCCAGAACTCATTAGGACAATATTTGCAGTCAAGTCATAGTCACTTAAAATGTACATTTAAATAGTATGATATTGTGTTGGCAAAGACTGAATATAGAGAGACTCGTGCAAAAAAAAAAAAAATATTTACAAATTAAGAAATAATGAGATTAGTATTGCTGTTTGTTTCCCTTGAGTGTCCATACCCTCCCACCTATTCTGCATGTAAAACTGGATGAAGAACAAACATCATGGGAAGACTTCCAGTGATCTAGATCAGTAATAGGATGTACTATAGAATAATAGAAATTCTGGGGGATGGAGAGAGAAAATAAATTAAGAGAAGCAGAATTATTTATAATGGAAGCTACTCTTGTCTCCCTAGGATTCAGCATCTTAGATTTATGTTTGCTTCCTCTCACTGGTCTGCCTCATTTCTATTGTTTTGTTTCTGCTATGACACAGCAGGCTCTTGCAAAAGGGTGTAATTTGCACCAACTTTCAAATAATATCATATTAGTGATAGGTCTACTATTTCAGTTAATCCAGGTTGAAGTTCTACAAAATGATTTCTAAGTCAAAAAAGAAACCTTTAAATAGCCTTCAGTAAGCACGGTACATTTTAATGTACATTTGGTATTAGTGTCATTCCCCTTTATACACACAAGCTGTACAAAAAGAGGATTTGTGGCTGCTCCTCCAAGGATCTATAGGAGGAAAATTGGCTCACCACATTTGATGCTTCTTCTCCCTTACAGAAGAACAGTAGTTTGACATGTTGCAAGTCACTGTGTTACAAGCACAAACAAACTCTGGCACCTTGTCAGTAATTCCTGACCCTGTGTGCACAGTATTACACTGGCAAGAGATTACTCAAGGACACAGGTGGCAGAGTCATTTTCCACAAGTCTCACAGGTCAGCACCAGATACTGTCCTTGTAAGCTGGAGACAGTTGACCTGATACCACGTATATCCAAACCTTCCCCTGTTTGAAGGCTAATTTCAGCAATAGATTTTATTGTTTTCCTGCATGGTTTCCCTCCTCTGTATATAAGATATCAGTTGTCTAATTGTGCAGTTTACCAAGCTTTCATTCTCCTCCACCTGGAACCAAAGCCAGCCTTGTGCACTGAGTTTCAACAACTCCAATGAAAATATTCTCAGGTCAGAGCACTGCAGAGGTTCTACTTGCTGATGTCATGCTGAGGAGTTCAAAAGGTTCCAGTCACTCTGCAATATTACACTGCCAACCCCTAAGATAACATCCCTGAATGGTCATACTGAAAGGCATACCTACTCTAAGATCTGTTCAAATATTTAATAATTAATGTTTGGATAAATTACCACTAGTTTTGTTTAATAAAAAGTATTCCAGTTAAACAAGGGCTCATCATTCTGATTTTGCTTCCTACCGGTAAAACATTCCCTTATCAATGGAACACATTAAATGCTGAAGAATTTTCTGGTCTGCAGTCCTTGAGTTTGTTGACGATAGATGCTCTTTCACTGTCCTGCAGATACCCATCTAAGCATATGTTACAGGCAAAAGCATCACCCAAATTCCATTTGGTATTATCAAATCTGCAGAAACCACTTCCCATTCAAGAATTAACCATTAGACTTGAAAAAGCCAACTGCCTAAGAGAAGAATCTCAGATTATCACAAAATGACCCTTCATTTCAGTTTGCTGTGTGAAAAATTAGAAATCGTTGTGAAAATATTTATCATAGACAACTACTGATGTAAATCATAAACAAAGATGTCTATGTCAGAGAACACATCCTGCTTTTCACTTATCGAGGATTTTTCCTTGTATTTGGCAATATGATTATTTATGTCCTCAACTTTACATACAGGGCAGTCATTAAAAGGAAGATATTATCTCTGCCCTAACCTTCAGTCTAAACTGGACACTGGCAAAGCAGCTCAACTACCTATTTGAGCAGGCAAATTTGTGCCTTGATGGGAGAAGGAATGCTTTACACAGGAACTGAAGTATTGGTTCACTCTAAATAACTATTTGGTCCATCGTCATGTTTCTAACAACGGCAAGCAAAGGAGATGTTCAGGAAAACATCATTAGAGACAGGCAGCTCTGTTATTCTCAGGTCCTCTGTAGGCAGAAGTTGATGGACCTTCTGGAGAGGATATTGGATGTGACCATCACATTGAACATTACTGTGGGCCTGTTCTGCACAAACATGGATGTTCTTACTTTAAAATGTTTAAGCTTTTGTTTTCCAAAACTGCCAGCTGCAGTGAGTTCCACAACTTGCTGTGTGACAATGATTTTTTTTTGTTTGCTTTAGATCCTTCCTGGGCTGGAAGGATCAGAAAAAAAGTCTGCTGAAAAGGGATTTAACTTGTGTTTATAAGAGTTAAAGATGGTGAAGAAGAAAAGAGGAACTGTCTACCTGATAGCAATCAGGAATGGGGAATGAGGTGCAAAAGCAGTAAAAATTATTCCAGAGGACAGTCAGAAAGGAATTTGTCTCAATGTTACAAACAGCATAAATTCTCCTACAGGATTCTACTAATACCAGTAAAATCTTTCCTAAAAACATCAATTTACCTTCATTGAAATATGTGTAAGAGCATATTTATTCCCACATTTTATTACTGACATATAGCTTCAAGAAATATTTATTTGACCACAATGAAAAAAACCACTTCATTTCTCTTTAATAACAATGGAGAAGCTTAGTTTGATCTACAGAAGTTAAGGTGACTGTAGACTCCTGAAATAGTTGCTTGTGTATTTCTGCCAATAGGCGGTTTTTCTATATTAGCAGTTTTGTCATGAAGTCAATCTGCCTCACAAACTTCTGTGAGTGAAATCTTCACCTTTTCTTCCAAAGATAAAGAATTTTCACTGAAGTGTTATCCTTTAATTTCAAGTCAAAATATTAAATTGAAGCAAAACTCCATGCAAAACTCTTCACAGAACTTACTTGCTTTTTAGAATGTGGCATTACCCTCTATGAGAGGCAAGATGATACAAAGTAAAAGTATATAATGCAATGGTTTCATACTTTGCAAAGGAAGGGTTTGGGGTGAATGGGTGCTGTTGCTGAGCAAACAGTGATGCCCTGACAGTCTAATCATTGCCGCTTGTTCTATGTAAGGAGATGGGTAAAGGCAAATGAAATTA